CTCGTATTTGGCTCAAAACTGAAAATTTTCATAAATTTCAACATTTGTATTAGGAGAGCATAAGTTGCATCGGGTCTTTTTAAAAAAACAACTTGAATTTTCCATTACTTTTCGACTAACCCTTGTATTTGGCTCAAAACTGAAAATTTTCATAAATTTCAACATTTGTATTAGGAGAGCATAAGTTCCATCGGGTCTTTTTCCAAGTTCAGAAATAAAGCGCGGGATTAACTTCAGCTTTCTATCAAATTGTTCAGCTCCTCAACACACGATGGCTTCAAAACTTGACACAATTACCTTTCTTTTTACAGTATTTGTTCTATTTTATTCTTTACTGTTTAAGGCAAATAAAATTAAAAATGCATACTTTGTTTATTAAAAGGCATACTTTGTTTATTAAATACCAAAGAATGACAATACAATAATACATTTATTATTTAGAAATACAATTTACATTTATTATAACAAAGTACAAATTTATTTCAAATAACCACAANAAATAATAAAAATCAGCACTGAAAAGCAAGTAAAATAGTAAATTATTAACTTAATTAAAATGGAGATTTGGCGTTACCTCGTCCAAACTCTCGAAGCCAAACCGGAAACAATTATATGCAATTATGTCAATTAATGCCAAAGAAATACATAAAAAGAACATAGATAATCGTGAAATGCAGTCACCACAGATGAGCGACATAATTTTCCACGCTTATGGGAACTTATAACACATTTAACTATGATTAACTGAACTGTTCTAAGGAATTGCTTCAAGCAATAGATCATAAATAAAAGAAAAATGTCAGATGAGTTAAAGAAAGAACATTGCATATGCAACCTTATACACATTACTGATAATCCGGTTGCATGCAAATTTCTCACACAAATTACAAAAGTAATATATATACAAATACACAAAAAGTAACACTGTTTTTCTACCCTTTAAGAAACGAACAAATATTGAAGTAATTAGTGATAAATAAATAAAAAAAGTTTTTATGATGATTTGGGACTGCAAGATTGTCGATATTGTGTTAAAATTGTTAAAAATTACTAAAATATTTTTGTCCGGAAAGGTTCAGACCTAACAATTTTAAAGACGATATTATAGATATACAACAGTGATGTTTGATTTTCAATGAAATTCAATTTCAGATTTGAAAATTGTAGTTGAAAAATTCACCAGCATCTTTTTGACCTCCAAACTAATCCCATACGCCAAGAAGAACACGATTACCTTATTAAGCTTGTATCATCAGTTGCGTTGAATGCATCCTTACCAAACAAAAATTATTATTATCAATATTTTATAACTTTAACCTCAGTTCTTATTTACAAATTTTGTTATAATCACATTTCATATCATTTTTATCTACGCAGAGATAAAAAATGTTATTACGTATTTTAGTAGTGAATTTAGCACAAACATAGATTTGATTTCCATGTCACAATCTAAGTAAAAGTGCATGTGCATCAAGTAAGTTATTAAACCAAATATTCTCTAGATATGTGCACGACGGTTTAATAAAATAAATGTTTCCCACCACTTCAGTTTGCGGATTTTTTAGTCTGGCGAACTATGTGAATAAATATTGTCTGTTGAAACTATCTTTGTATTTGTTTCAAAGACCCACTGCTCACCAAGGCACGTAAGGATAATGAAGTAATATTAAATATATAATACTTTTCTGTCCATTTCAAAAACAGTTTTAGAAAATACTTATGCACGAATATGGCATCAAATAAAAATATATTCAAGGGTGTTAATGACAGATTTCATGGTGTAACAGTCGATTCTGAGAAAGAGGCATGTAATACAGAAGAATTTCCAAATAAATTAAATGGTAAAGGAATTAAATAATTACAGAGTAAATTCGTTGTGACTGAAATACTTGAATGAAAAGTTTGCTTCCAGAATCACTTACACATTGGACAAACAGCAAAACAAGATGTGTATGGTTTAAAGTTTGTACGGAGCAAGCAGAGTGGGTACCAATTCTTGTAAAGGTACGTACAAACATAATTTCATTTTATGTTGTGCAATTTTCTGTCATTCCAATTAATTTTATAGAACGGTTTCAATTTCCATCATGCAAAGCATGGGTTTGTTATGATGTACAAATGGCTTCCAAGTCAAGAAATATGCAATTTACCCACGTTTGCCAATACATTGGTAGGTGTAGGTGCAGTTGTAATTAACAACAATAATGAAATTTTGGTTGTTTCCGAAAAATTCTATGACAGACCACATTGGAAACTTCCAGGTGGATATGTTGAACCAGGTGATTATGTTATTATTTAATTATATTGATAAACTATCTATTTAAAACGTGAAATAATTTAGGAGAAAATCTAATTGACGCAGCTATAAGAGAAGTACAGGAGGAAACAGGTATTGATACAGAATTCATATCACTGCTTACCCTTCGCCACGGCCACTTTGGACTGTTTGACTGTTCTGATATGTACTTTGTGTTGGCATTGAAACCGCTCACACAAAATATCGTAAAATGCGAAAGAGAAATTAACTTCTGCGAATGGATGGACATAGAGAAATATTTAGGTCATCCGCACGTTCACGATTTGAATCGGTTTTTTCTTAAAAAATATTTGGAATACAGAGAAAAAAACATAAAAATACACTGTGACCATGGAATACACGCTGTCGTAAAGAAGCCGTACACTGTCTATCATGCTATAAACCACATTCATTAATTAACTATTGATACTGTAGCTGAATTTTACTTATTAATGAAATAATAACAAGGGACAGGGAAACTGGACATTGTTAAATGTTGATGGTTTTTGTTGATGTTATTCATAAAAGAAATTTAAAAATAAATTAATGAAATCCTTAAAACTGTTTTTCTGAAAGCTTATAACTCCTAAAAAAAAGTTAACATGGGTTTAAATCGTTAAGAATTACTAGTTCTTCCCCCCTGTCAGTCACTGTGAGCTCGAAACTGTTGTAAAGTGGTTGTAATTCACTTTTGTGAACAATTTTTTAAATCACTTTCTGTGTTAAAAATTGTTTGAAAAATTAAATTTAAAGGAATTGTTTGTACATCGGTATGCAACACATCGTACACTCAAGCAGAAAAATTGCTGATACTAACTACGTAAACTACTTTGCCCTGTGCTGACAGAACTCATAATTTCTTTTATATATAATATTCTTTGATACACTTAAAATTTAACGTATAAAAAGTTAGTAAAAGTTTTAAATCACTTACGATTACGCGTCCGTTTCGACAATAGAAGAAATCAGTTATCCTCTATCCTTAGTATGTAGTCAGCAGAAGAAATTCCCTCCAAATCCATTAAGAACTCGATAGATTTTGTCATCTTAATCCCCGAAGAATTAACTGCAAAAATTATAGAATAATAATAATAATCCAAAATATTGGGCCATAATAGGCTAATTAATGAAAATATTGAACAATGATATTCTAATTAAAAATATTAACAAATACATACCGAATTATCCAAAACATTAAGCAATAATAAACTAATAAATGAAAATATTGAATAGTATGCTAATAATTGAAAATATTGACTAATATATATTAAGGAAGAATATATTAATAATCGAAATTATGGTGGAATAGTAGCTCTAATTGAAATTATTTAGAAATAATACAGCTGGTAATCGGCTGGCCGGTTGTTTAGCTTATCGTTAGCCCCTATCACATTGATGAAACTTTTTTGGAAAATATTCAAGTGAAAGGGACGCTTCAATACACAAAGAAAACGAAGTGTTTTTTAAACATCTTCAAACCCAAACAAGGTTAAATTAACAATGACAGGTGTTCCCAAAGGTGTAAAAAAAAGTTGTAGCTTGGGTCATCCATGTAGACTCAAGACCCAACGTAAATACAATTAATTATATAACCACATATTGTATGTTTGTATTTATAAAAGGGTACACTTGAATAACTCCGCCGGTTCTTTTTTATGTTAATATAATGTTGCTGCACCAAAAAAATACGTCCCCTTTTAACTCCTGCTTCTGCTTCTAATATGTATCTAACTAGTCCCACACGTGAGGTGTTCTACATTTTCTAATAAGTCATGTGTTGATTTTCTAATATTTTCTATCCGTCATATTTTTAACATCCGCCTATAACACCACATCTCAAAAAAAAAAGTGCCAGCCTAAGACCTAATTCACCGAGTTGGGTTATTAATAAGACATAAAGGTGTTCGTTTCTAAATTTTTATTAAACAGAATAACTATCTTTAATGAAAAACTTTACCCTAGTTGGCGAAAATAAGAAACATTTGAACACCGCTTCCTCCTTGTCCGAATGTTTCAGAAAACAAACAAATGTATAAACATATACGTGTATAGAAAAACTTTTCATTACTATTTAACACTTCCTACAGAAAACTCGGGTGAACTTAACGTATAGTTCGGGATCGGGTGTGGAACTTGTGCGAACCGACATAAGATAATGAAACTTCTCACGTACCAAAAATAGTAAAATCGAGCACGCGCATTTTAAACGCGGTGAGTGTGTAACGCCGAAGGTAAATGGTCTGTTATTAACGCGAAAATAAGAACATGAAAGTATAAAGTCGATTTAACTTAATGCATTAAAGTTTTTCGAAAATGTTTCATGAAGATTTCTTTTACGACTGGTATTACAATATCGACGAAAAAGGACGCTATTACAAAAAGAAGGCCTAACAGTGGTAAGCAACACGCATTAAAAAAAATATTTCCGAAATATGATTGTAATTATATTTGCAATCAATCGACTAATCAACTGTTGCAAATATATTACACATTTATTCATATGGAAAACAATTCTGAATTAAAAATAACTGAGTTCACAAGTGCCCAGTAAGACATTTCTACGAATAAAATTGACCTTAAATAATTGTGATCGATAAAATAATCGTCTTGCGATAATATAAAAAATAAATACACAAATCATGCACAACCAACCAACAACTGAATGCCAATATTCTAAAAACAATAGGGCGACATTTAGTTGCGCACCGAGGTTTTTTTACCGAATACATTATTATGAATATTAATTCGAATCATTGATAAGAAAGTTCAATAAAAAATTATACTTATATAAAACAATTGATTTTGTTATCGTCAATTTTTATTGAACCATTTTCCGCATCTTCGTAAAATGGTACACAATAATTAATAACATATAGACATGTATGTATAATTATTTTTGACGTTTACTAATAAGTGCTGCTCATTATGTTACAGGCTATGGCTTCATGTGTTCCCCTTAACTGTAATATAAAATTCACGAGACAACAAATAAGTGGATTCGCAGACAGAATAATTAACATATTAAATGACGAAAATTGTCGGAGGTTGTTTAGAAAGTTTTTGGAAGATACAAACGACAGACGGAAACTTACAACCCTGAAATTTTGGGAAAGGGCACATTCTGATAATTTTGAAGACGAAGACGAAATTGTCGAGTACATGCTCGACGTAGACGGTTTCAACGATGGGCCCTTTTTGTCCATAACGGAACATCAACACAAAATACAATTTATAAAGGAAGAATGTGCTAGGTGTCTTCAAAATAGAGGAAAAAGAGCGCACGAAAATTTTGTTAGATACCTTGAAAAACATCACATGCTTGAATAAATTATCCTATTTTTTTAGTTAATTTTTTATTCTGTTGGGATAGTAACTGTACGATATTAATACAAAAAAAAATATTTAGTAATTAAACAGAAAGGACAAAATATTATGGATGCAAAGCAACTTACCGAAAATGATAAAATCAATTAATTGTAATTATATATATAATATAATTAATGAAAAAGTAGCATAACAATCAACAATCACGAATCATTATTAAGTACGTCTTGAATGATTACATTCAAAATAATTTTGTTTTTCAACAATGATGCGCCACCTGCTATAATAAACACTAACTTCTTCAATAAAAACAATTCAAAATTAAGTACTTTTACGCCAGTTGGATATGCAACCAATGTTACACATGTGTCTTGTTGGTCTCGTACGAGTATTTGAGAACCTTAATAAAGTTATACTGCAAGTTGGATTTACGATTAAGAGAAAAGTGTTCATTAGTTTAATTCTACGAATTTAAAAAGTAATCAATAAAAGAAAAAGAGATTTAAAACTACAGGCATGCTTAATACTAATAATGCTATAGGAAAGGAAAGACAAAGGCTCTTGAGAATTAGCAGAATAAAAAGTTTTAACAAAATCATAATCATTTTATATATTATAAAATTGATAAAGACATAAAAAATCCAGTACCGCTCAAAATATAATTAATATACTTAGATCACTTATCCCATTTTCAAACATCTTTTTGATCTTTGTTTCCTATTTTTTTACTCGTTGGTAAATTTGGGAGGTCTTTTCTCAACAAAAGCAGACATCCCTTCCTTCTGGTCTTTGGTGCCGAACGTTGCATGGAACATTCTCTGTTCAAAGAGCAATCCTTGATTTAATGTGCTTTCAAAAGCTGCATTTATTGCTTCTTTGGCTATCTTAACAGTTACAGCCGAATTACTGGCAATCTTTTCAGCAAGCTTGATAGTCTCTGGAAGGAGCTGATCAGCTGGCACTATCTTGCTCACAAGACCCATTCTTTCAGCCTCCTGAGCAGTAAATTGATTACCTGTTAAAATAATTTCCATGGCTTTTGATTTTCCTACTGCTCTAGTCAGTCTTTGAGTACCACCACCTCCAGGTATGGTACCAATAAGAATTTCTGGCTGTCCAAATTTGGCTTTATCTCCGGCATAAATTATATCACACATCATAGCCAGTTCACATCCACCACCCAACTGAAAATATATTTTTAAAATTAAAAATATTGTTGTTTTTCCAATAGAAAACGGTATGAACGTACAGCATAACCGTTTACAGCAGCAATGACTGGCTTTTTGACTGTTTTGACTTTATCTAAATCCAAAAATTTTCCATTAATACAATCTGAAAAGGTGCTAGTTCGCATTTCTTTTATGTCTGCCCCTGCTGCAAATGCTTTTTCGTTTCCAGTAATAATTATAGCTGCAATTGATTCATTTTTATCTAATTTTACCAGGGCATCACCCAATTCCTCCATAAGAGCTGCACATAGTGCATTTAGTTGTTTAGGACGGTTCAATTGAACAAGAGCTATGTTTTTTTTCTCTCCAACAACATCAGTCTTGATATTTTCATATGAACCTACATAAAAAGACAGATTGATTTAAAAATACCTTGCTTGACCTTTAGACCTGAACTGATATTGAATGTATGTATAAACAACAATTTCTTACCTAAATTAACTGAACTCAGAAGTCTTATACTGGACAAGTTCTGCTTCCACAAATTCCTTTGCACTGTCGATAACACAAATTTCATTGCATTAGTAGTTGCCATGCTTTTATAACTTTTCAACTTTACTAAGCACTGGAAAGGTACCAAATGGGCACGAACTACTTGCACGAATTTTACTAAACAAAAAATACCACGAGCACACAACGTTCCAAACTGTACTGTGATTACAGTGCTTTTAGATAGATGTGTAAATATAAGTATAGCAGAAAGCAGTAAACAATTGCATCAACTGATAACTTATCATTTATAAGCCATTATAGTGTATAATTGTCAGAAAATAATATAATAATTGGTTTTTATTCTTTTAAACAATTGATTCCGCATTGTTGCGTTTTACTTAATTGTTTTGCATTATTGAACAAAACAAGTATCAGTTGTATTAATCTTTTTGTATTAGTCAAATTTTGTAGGTATATTGTTATGATAATCAGACATTAATTGCATTTCTAATTTTTGTTTTCCTGTGCGATATACTTTCTATTAATATTTTTTCGTTTTCTGTACATACATATACAAACAGTACATTATATACAATGTACAGTCGCGTGTCAGTTGTTAGATGACGTAAGAAGTAGATATTTATTTTTGCTACAACTGTACTGTTTTTATCGGTTTTGTTCATCATCAAACATCACAAAATTGTGACAAAGGCTATTATGCCACCTATGCCGTTCCGTTATTACATTTTAAGGCCAATGATAAAGTGAATCCCGAAACCATGGCCTTAAAAAATGTCTGATAGTCTGTTTAACTATCAACCAGGAGCAGATAAATGATAATAACCAAACTGGTGCGTAATTTTCATGGGCAACGCAAATACAAACTTTAAAGGAATAAATACGAAACGTGCCACGAGTAGCTGCGGTGATTTGCAAAACCAGGTGAATAGTCTTAGTTAATTATTTATACTAACGCTTTTTGTGTAAAAAATAATTTTAGGTCATTGTTGACTTTACTGGAAATTCCTCTCTCACTAGCAGAGAAAGCCATCAATCATTTTCAAACACGAGCAGACCTTGGTTTAAAAATTCAAAAAAAAGGTGAGCAGTTAGAGAAAACGTGAAACTGATAACCCCAATTGAAATTTTAATAATAAGTAGCTTTTAGGTTAGGTTTACATAGTACAGTTTTGACAATTAATTTCACTTGGTATTTTTAAGTTTCAAACGTACAATTTCTTTGTTAGATGGAAGAGATCTGTTTCTTCACATGATATAAGCAAAACTGCTTGGCCTGTGTCACGAATTGAGCAAGTTTTTCTACCGGAATTTCCCAGTAGCCCACAAGTTAGAAATCAACAATTTGCAATTGTCGATGACATTGCAACAGGCTCTTTTGGAAAAGTATTTAGAATCCAAGATCTCAAAACCCATAACTATTACGCTTTAAAAGTGTTACCAAAATCACAGGTAAATCACGTCAGTTAATTTAATTGCTATTATACTTACTGTTGATTTTAGATCATTAAGGATAACTGCATAGAGCAAGTAAAGAACGAGGTACTGATTCAGGCTGCATGTGGTCATCATCCATTTATCGTAAAGTGCCACAGTTATTGGCAATCAAAGAAGCAATTATTTATTGGTAAATATTTTACTTACTTATTTACACACTATTTTTATCAGTCTTGAAGGTATAATTATAATTTTATTTTCTAATCATTCAAATTTTACCAATAACTGATCAGTTAAGTATAAGAATTTTATTGATTTATAAATGAATTATAACAAGACAATAAAACTGTTATATTGAATTGGTTGGTTATTTGCAAAGTTTGACTCAATTGAAATTGAACTTTAATTTTAATCCAATTTTTTCAATTCCTTTTCTTTACGTCTTCTATTAAAAATGCATATTGTTGGCAAGAATTTCAACTAAAGTGATTCCTTACTAGTTTTTATTTAAAATTACAGCATATTAAAAAAGGCACACAATNTTTTTATTTGTTTCAGGCAGATTTAACGATAATTATATTAGCAGTTTAACTTTTAATTTTTGTTGTAGAAGTGTAGCAAATTGTAGTTACAAAACATCAAAACGACGAAGACATCACGTCAGTTTTTCGCAAACGCCACGGCAATCTCGATCCACTCGGTATATGTACAGTAGGCGCAATGTTATATTGAATTGGTTGGTTATTTGCAAAGTTTGACTCAATTGAAATTGAACTTTAATTTTAATCCAATTTTTTCAATTCCTTTTCTTTACGTCTTCTATTAAAAATGCATATTGTTGGCAAGAATTTCAACTAAAGTGATTCCTTACTAGTTTTTATTTAAAATTACAGCATATTAAAAAAGGCACACAATTTTTGGCATTATTTTTCTTTTTTTTTTGTATGATCTTAGTCCATATTATAATCACACTGTATTTAATAAATTTTTTTAGTGACTGATTACATAGAAGGTGGTGAATTATTTGCACTGTTAAAAACCTACTCATCGCTTCCATTGGACTTGGTAAAAATCTATGTTGCAGAACTGGCAATTGTATTAGGTACATTACATATTATTGAATATTTATTCTTATTTTTGTATTAGTAAAGTACTCCTATTTATCCTCATTTATTTCCAGATTTTCTACACAACGCAGGAGTGATATATCGCGATCTTAAACCTGAAAATATTCTATTGGACCGTGAAGGGCACCTGTACTTAACCGATTTTGGTTTGTCTAAGTGGCTTTCATTTGGGGTGAAAACGAGAACCTTGTGTGGCACATTACGTTACATGGGTATGGAACACTCTTCTTTACAAGAAATTAATTGCAATAACTAACAAAACAAAACGTTTGGACTATAAGCAAATCTACAAACACTACCTACTTAATTAATACTATTATCCCTTGCTTGTTTTTTGTCTCTAAAGTCACTAAAAAAGAGTGGTTTATTTTAAATACTGTATGGATTACAAATTTGGACAATACCAAAAGACATGTGTGGTAATCAGTGAATATTAGTGCATCAGAAGCAAGAATGACTGCGTCTCGACATTTAATAACAGCTGGTTGTGAATGTCAGTGGGTATATTTATATAATTAAGTGATACTATTATCGATGAATTTATTATTTGGTGGTGAATTAATTTTTTGAAGTCAAATAGAAAATGAATGCGCGTTCTCAAGTGTTCGAACTGACGATGGAGGGTCGTCAGGTGGACGAGGCCGTTGCCAGCATCTTTCACACAATCCTGTTTCATCGTTCCCTAGGGAAGTTCCTTTATAACGCGGAGGGCAGCTACTCGGTGGGCACGATCGGTTATACGGACGTCGATTGCGACTTTATCGATTTAACATACGTGTGCTGCACATCGAGCCTTCTCGATTGCAATCTGAAGAGGGAGATTTCGTGTTTTTCTGAGTTGTTGAGAGGCAGTGAGGGAGGCGCGGGCGCCACGTCCGGCATGGGTCAGATATCGCTCGAATTTTTCCAAAAGAAACCGAGCCGGTGGTTCTTACAACCGGAGTGTATACCGTGGGAAGTGTGGACGATCCGTTTGGAATTGATCGCGTTAAATAACGAGGATGAGAGGCAGGTGTGTCGGGAGAAGGTCGGGGAAATACTGACTGATAAGATATTGTATATCACAGAGGTGATGAACAGGCACGACTATTTGCCAAAGATGCCCAATCAGTCCGAGCTGGAGCTCATTTTCGACACGTCGTACACGGACGTGCAACCGTACCTGTTCAAATTGAGATATTCCCTGTCCAATCCTTCAGTTGGCACTTCTGTCGGTTCTACGATGAAGAAGATCATCAAAGAAACGTTATACCTTTAATTAATTGATTATTAAACCGATCTCGTCTTAATAAATTATTATATCTCATACTGATGCACGATAAATATCCCTCCTTCTTTCTCATGTACTAAGAGTGTCTGGTGTCTTATTAGATTATATGTATGTATGTATGTATGTATATAATATAATAGAGTTAATTATACATATACAGAGTGTGTCGCGACACCGTGGGCTTATTTCTTAATTTTTTTTATGTAGATTTACAAAGAGCTAATTATTATTTATGAATTATCATTATTATCGTATATTAGTTTATTATTTATTAATATTAAACGAATAAGTTAATTTAAAGTTGTTGTCCTTAGCCAAGTTAATGTTTGAATTAACAAAAAATACATAATATACTCGGGCCTGCAAAAAAAAACGTCTAATTTTTAGTGAAACAGCAAAGGTCTTAGGGTAAAGACCATACTGAATAGCCTCTCTCATATGAACTGTGACTTACTTCAGGATACTGAAATTCTAAAAGTATCAGGATCGCTAAATTAATTCATTTTCGAGAAAAGGCAAATGAGTAGTCTGTCTGTCTGGATGGCTGCACTGACTTTGTTAATTTTTTAATAGCACAGCCCTAACAAATTGCTTGTTTTAAGGCCTCACGTACTTTCTAACAAAGTTACATTTGCAATGCTGAAAAAACTAATCCTTTTAGACACGAGAAATCTTAGAATTTTAGTATCTTGTTAACAGGAACTTATGACGATTAGATAGTCTTTAACATCAAAATCTTTTACTTGCTAAACTAAAAATTATAATAATTAAAATGTGTGTTTAGTCTGCCCTCGAATCTTTGATCCTTTTTAATATTATTCTATCGTTAAAATATTGAACTCACCACCAAACGTACAAAACAAACATCACAAAAATATCACGACATATTTATATTCCTCATTAATATTTGTTTTCGTTTTCTAGTTTTGATATTTTGAAATTGTCGTGTCACACTCTGCATTTTGTTTCGACAATTGTGTTTTTTTAATAGGGTAAAGAAACCAAATATTTTACAAAACTAATGTTAAGATAAAAATAACGCTCGCTATGGTATGTGGGAAATTTTTCTTTACTTTGAGAGAGAGGGCATTTATCAATTAAAGTTTATAATTGATATATTTTATTAAAAATTATTACAGTCCAG